AATGCGTCATGAAAATATTAGAAATTCTCACTAGTTTATTTTAAATCAATCATTCATGATTTATATTTAAATAAAAACATAAAAACAATTGGGTTACATTAATAATTCTATTTGGTTAATATGAATACAATTATACAGTTAATTTAATTTGTATTTGCATTTTTGTATTGTGACGAGTAATGGGTTAACGGATTTCCGAGTTTTTGACTGTAATCAAAGAAATACTTAAATTATGTCCTGAATTTAGCACATAACAGTTGATTTGTTGGAGTACATTTATAATTTACAATTAAAGTTTTAATTCAACCCGCAAATAACCTTTTTTTAGGACGCATTTCTAAATGCGTCATGAAAATATTAGAAATGCTCACTATTTTATTTTAAATCAATGATTCATGATTTATATTTAAATAAAAACATAAAAACAATTGGGTTGCATTAATAATTCTATTTGGTTAATATGAATACAATTATACAGTTAATTTAATTTGTATTTGCATTTTCGTATTATAGCGGATAATGAGTTAATCCAACATGGCTTGAACGTATACTATTTAACGATTTTATTTAACCAATTAATTGTGTTTGACGAGTGTACTCGTCCTGCGTATAAAGTAATGATCATTGACTATTTGAATTGCAGTTTTTGTGAAAAACGACACATATTCTTCAATTTCAAAATGTTTAGAATATTTTGAGACTAGGCCGAGATAAAATAAACAAATTAAAAATATGAAGAATTTGAATTGAACTCATTCGTCATCGCATGTACTGACTGAAAAACAGTGTATTACTTCGCATAACGAATTTGTTTATATTTCTCAATCCGAGAATTTTGACGGTCACACACTCAAAATAGATTTCAATAAACATTAGTGTAGGTATCGGATGGTGAAGCCTTTCATAGGCCGTTATATTCGAAAATTGATAAATTTATTAAATTAAATTCGTCAAAACACATTAAAATATTGCATCAAAAGGATAGGTTTATTTTATAAAATAGCCAATTTTTTATTATTAATATTTCTTTATTTATGTACAAAATATTAATTTTTAAAAATTCGATTTGTTTTTAAAAAGAATATAAGAAAAAGAAACTTGTAAGATTAACAAATTAAAATTTATAAAATTATAATACAGTGCTATCTATCGTATACTTACAGAATTAAAGGACAAAGATAAATATTATAAATAATATATCCCTAAATTGACAATAAAAATATTATAAATCGCTAAATAACCTACTCTATCTTTTAAGTTAGAGAAAATTAAATAAAATAAATCAATTTTTATTTAGATCAGTTAAGTAGTTTCGATGTTTATCGCGGACAAACAATTATAATTAAAAAACGTAATATGATGAATTATAGTTTATATCTTTTGTTAATAAAGCAAAATAAAAATACACAAAAATTTCGGAGAATTTCAATTAGAGATAAATTAGTGTAATATTGCAAACTTATTCTTTTATTATTTTACATTAGAGTAACATAATTAATTATGTTTAATCAAACCATGGATATTTTTTGACCCTATAACCTAAAAAATGAAAAAAAGAAACTACTTCGGAACACGTAATTTTTTCCGTAATTTTTTGATTATTCGTCAAAATGAGTTAATACTTTTTTCTAACTAAAATTCGATTTGCTTTTAAACAGAAAGTAGAAAAAGAATTTGGTAACCTTAAAAAATGAAAATTTATAAAATTATAATGCAGCGCTATCTATCGTATACTAACAGAAACAAAAGACTAGGAAAACTTTAAATAAATATTACAAAATAAACAAAATAATGCATGTAAAGTAAAAAATTCAAATTTCTATTTTGAAGTGGCACTAGTTCGTTGAATTCGTATTAACCCTTTCAGTGTTATGGACGCATATATGCGTTTAATAAAAATTACTAACCTAATCTTTCGAAGCTCATACGTGTTTGTTAATATTAATGTAAAATAATTTAATATTTATATTAAAATTAATTAAATTATATTCAAAAACAAAAACATTAATTATTAAATATAATTTATTATTAGAATTCGGTTAATAATAAATTATTTTCTTCCTAAAAAACATTTTAGATAAAAGTATTCAGCACTCAAAGGATTAATATAGGTTATATTAGTGTAAAATCAAAAATATAGGATGCCATTAAAAAAAAAATAAACGAAGCTTTAAAAAACATTAAACAACAAATTATTTTAAACTTATTTTTATTGCAATGTATAGTCAATCAAAAATAGATCAACTTTTGTTTGAAGTATTTTTTCGTCAGATTATCCGAAATACGTGAAAAGAGTTGTATGGGACACCCCAACGACATTTATTCTGTTCTTGACGAATATATACGTGTGCAGATCACACACGATAGAAGTGATACCTTCAAAGAAAACCAAACTTCTAGACATGAATATATTAAAATAATTGAATTGTAATACAGTGCCATCTATTAAAAGAACCTTACAGAACTTAGATAACCTCTAAATAAAAATCTTTAAATTACTATTAAAAAATAATAACGAAAAAAAAAAATGGCGATAAAAATTGTGCTATGTGCCAAGTTGATAAAAATCACGTGAAATAAAATAAATTTCATGAAGATAAGTTGAATAGTTTCGGAATTATTAGTGGACAAACATATTGTGACAACCTAATTTTTATATATAGAATTTAATTAATAAATTAATTAATTAATTAATATATAGAATTAAATTATATATTAAATTTTATTAATTAATTAATTATTTTTGTTTCATCGGTTTCACGTTAATTCCGTTTCACGTTAATTCCGTTTCACGATTTTCAAATCACCCTGATTCTAAAGAACTTTTCACTTGAAACAAAATTTTCTAAACTTTTTTTTTTTTATTACAATGTACAGTCAATCAAAGTAGTTTTTTTTTTGTTAGGTCATCGCAAATACTTGAAACATCGTAACAAGAGTTGTATGGGACACCTCAGCAACACTTACACTGTGTTTGACGAATATACTCGTGTCGGTCGATTTGTATGACACACAGCGGTGCGTACTTTTAAAAACCGGGCGTTACAGTTAACTGATTAAAGTAATTAAAATAAAAGGGCTTGAGGGCATGATTCATCTTAAACTGACACGAAAGTAGAGATTACGTTTAGGTCAGTAAAACTGCAAGAAAATTCGTAAGAAAATTTAGTCGTTCAATTTTCACAAGTATTTACATACATATATACATATATACATTCATTCTTCTCAAGCATGCGCAATGTTAAGAGTTGGTCAGCGTTATTGAGTAGCCACCGGAACATACATACTAACACACACATATATATATATATATATGTAGAGTATACGTATTACGTATACACAGACAACCCCCTACCATTCGTGGATTTTATCGTTCGATTGTGGGACATTGTCCAGTCTCTGAACTTTCACGAACGATTTTGTGTTGGTCAGTCTAGTGCGAACCTTTGCTGAGATACTTTTATTCTTTTTCGATAAAAACATTCGTGTTTCATTGATCTTTGCAAAATTTGTTGACAAGAAGAAATTTTTTATTTTCCATATAAAAAAAAAAAAAAAGAAAAGAAAAGAAAATTGACAAATATATTACATTTGAATTTTCACTTATGAAATTAAGTTAATACAATAAATAATAATAATAATAATAATAAATAAATAAATTTGTATATTAATTTGTTATTCTGTTTTTATCGGAATTTTTGTACTTTTCTTGTAAGTAATGTGAGAGAGAGAGAGAGAAATAAGAAGAAAGAGTAAATACAAGAATGAAACATCAAATTCACTTTCAAGATTACTTTGTAAATGAGATTGAATTCCTGCAATACCTGTAAGGTACGAGACCCATCGATTTTCTGCTAAAGTTCACTGAAAGGATATTACATTGTTCAAACGTCAAGATAATGAAGAGTATAATAAATTAACGTATAATCTCGCTATGCCAACTGGAATTTCATCAACATTGGCGTCAACCGCAAATGTCAAATCATTTGATTGTGAAAGAAAACATTCAGGAGCTTTTACGATTGTACAGAGAGACAATTTAGGATCGATTTTACCTGTAGTACATATAAACAATGATAATGAAGAGACAAATTCAGGTAGAAAGTTGACAACTAGAGTGGACAACGTAAAGGACGATCTTTATACTCGTAGACGTATTTGCAAATCAAACGAACATTTGTTTTTGGCGAGTCTTCAGGGTAATCAGATCAATCCGTTGGATAAAAAACAACGTACGAAGAGTCAAAATAGTCTTGAGGATGATGACAAACGTCAAAAAAAGGAGAATAATTTGTTCGGAAATGTGGAAAGAACTAGTATTCATCTTTCTACGGAAAATTTCAACGATGTACTTAACGCAAAGTTGAGAAAAATTCAAGAAGACGATGAATCTTTACAAAAGTTACGTGGTGACAACACCAAGAGAATTTCTCACGAATCGATTTCTCACGAACGTAGAAAGCCCTTTATAACTACGGTTAAGTGCGGAGAGTTCTTAATGCCACCACCGGAAGTAGCGGCACTTCTTGGCATTGGCCCGATCACGAACATTCCGTCGGACAATGCTGGTGGAACAATAGGACAAACAATCATTTCTCAGAACGATGAAATTGATAATTGGCAAGGTCCTTCCCGTTCTAAACTGAAACCTTTGGTATCGTTCGGCAAGAAACCAGAAGTACGTCATAGCAAACACAAGGCAAGATGTCAAGCGGCTGCGGCGGCAGCCATCAAGGCCACCGTTAATTTTGCACTTGACAAGACCAACGCAACTACCCTTGCTTTCTATTCTTGTTCTGAACAACGTGCTAAGAGAAACATGAAGTCTTCGATCAGAGTCGACGGCCTGTAAGTTCGTCAACGAGTAGCTTCTTTTTCTTTTCATTTCTTTTCATGTTTCTTTATTTTTCTTTTCTTTTTTACACGTTTTCTTTTCTTCTTCAAATAACTACTTTTATTATTTTTAATTTTTTTTTATTTATAAATATCTCCTTCCCTTTATGAATTTATGAAAGCTTTACTTTTTACCCTAAGGGCGAATCAAGGTAATAAGAGCGTCCATAAGAGCGCGATTTGTGTTTTTTTTCTTTCTCGCAGATTACTGATGACACCGCGAGGTTTACCGAAAAAGTTGGAACCGATCAAGGGCACGATGCTGAATAAGCTGCCTGGCCTTCGCGGCTGGTAACCGATCCTTCTCTTTCTCTCTTTCTCTCTTTATCTCTTTTTGCAAACATTATTTTCCATTATTTTTCTTTTTCTTTTATTATTGATCGTCGATATCCGAATATATTACAGATACATTTTATGAATTCAAATGCAACGTAATTATTAGCAGTACAAATAAGTTTTCGTCGAATTTATGGTGACAGAATGGTACGTTACATTTATTCTAAGTACAGGGGTGGCCCTCTTACAACACGGCACCATATAACACGGTTTCGCTATAACACGTGTCATAAATTGCGGAAACCCTCCTACAACACTGCATCCTATGACAAGGTTTCCTTTCCAAAAAATTCTTTTACAACACTGTACTTCTACAGTTGCGACGAGATTTGTCGTTTTAAATAGACAGTGTTGCGGAAAGTAATTTCTTTTCATCTCCATGGGTTTTGTACTCACATTTTTGTACTCACGTATTTGTACTGGGTCTGGGTATCATACAATACGGTTTCAAACAACACGGCATTTTCTATGAACTTGTCTACCGTGTTATAGGAGGGTTACCTGTACTGTCTGTCATAAGCAAATACTTTTTCAAATCTCTCAGGCAGCATTCTGAAGAACTCATCATTTTTTGTGGTTATCCATGAATCAATCAAATTTATAGTATTTTCATATGACACAAGGTTCTGCTCAGACAGACCATGTGTCATCGATCGAAACAAATGGGCAGCTTATTTTGAAAGTGGCGTTTAAATGCAATGAAAAATATACGTACAAGATACTAACGAGTTATATTGCTTAAGGGGTTACATGGGTTTCACGAATTCTAAAAATCGATCTTTTTTTTGTTGCTTATTAAAATCTACAACATTTCTAGAATATTATCCGAAAATTTCAACTTGATCCGAGTAATAGTTTCAGAGAAACAGTCTTTTAAAGTTGAGCGCTCAAGGCTACCTCTATGGTCACTCAAAACTTAAAACGTGTTTTTCTCAAAACTATGTTTTCAAAGTCGGTTGTCAAGATTTCTCGAAGGTTACTCCACCGATCTCGATGAAATTTTAAACAGGTCTTCGAGATACAATTTACAAGGACTTGGACGAAGGATATTTTTTTTTTTTTTTCAATTACAACTATTTTTTTTTTTTTAAATGCCGCGGAATTTTTACTGAATTCTGCATTTTTTTTTGTAAAAACCGCTCGCTGTCAAACATCCAATTTTCATTTCTTTTTTTTTCCTTCGTCCAATTTCTAGTTTGAAGCCTTAACTAAAACAAGTATTTTTTTTTTTTTTTCACTTCACGATGATCCTGCTTGGGGTTCTGCTGTCAACGCTAATGCACCTTTTTTCCGAGGGCTCGCCGGGAATGACGTCACAATGGCGGAGTTTTTAATATTTTTTTTTTTTTTAAATTTCACAAAATGTTTATTAAATATGTATCTTTAAGATGATAAAAAATTTTAATCAAATATTTCATATATTATATGGAAAAAAAAATCTTGAAAATACGCCGTTTTTACCCGGATGAAACCCATGTAACCCCTTAAGGCCGGCGATACTTGTAAACGCCAAAATTTTGACCATTTTTTAGAGGCTTATTTAAAATGGAAGGAATACATGAATCGTTTTGAAACTCTCTCAGCATGCTTATTCATTACATATTAAATTATAAGAATCTGATTTTTATTTTATTTTTTTTTTCAAAATGGCCGCTGTAGTAACTAATCTCCTGAGGCCCTCGCGACGAAACGCATCAATCATGGTGATTTTTAGCTTTAGTTATAGCAATCTAAAACTAAAAAAAAGGGTCAGAGCGTGTTCATAAAACATGTATCCTCTAGTTGAACTAAGGAAAAACTAAAAAGTCAAAAAATCGTAAATTGTCACGACTCAGACAAAAAAGTCTGATTTTTAACTCTTTTTTTTAACGGTTTTTGGGTCAAAAATGGCAATTTTTGCAAATTTTTGTGACATTCTTAAAGTTCAACTAGAAGCTAATACTGTAAAGAAAATGTGTATTAAATTTCACAAGAATCGATTGAGAACTTTTTGGGTTATTTGGCACCACAGTTTGAAAAAAGTCGTTTCGATAAAAACGCGTTCGAAGTTTAGCGTTCGCGTCTAGCGCCGAGTTGAGGCGGACCACTTAAATGAATTTTTAATCGATAAATAATGGGAATTTCATTCTAAAAATTTACAGGCATATTTTTAAAATATTAAACTAACTATTTATGAAAAAAAAAATTCGATTTTTTTTTTATTTTACATGTATCGCCGGCCTTAAGTGTATCTAAAGGCTTTCAATTTATATTTCCTATTAAAATAGTGGCAATTATAAATTGAATAATATGCGTTTTCTAACAACGAATGGAGTTAGGCCATTGTCAAAATCAACAATTTGATTTGTTTTTTTGTATTTCATTTTTCATTTAGTAGTTGAAAGAATAAAAATATTCCACATTTCCTATTTAAATCATACAATAATTAGTAAACAGTATTAAAGTCCGATGAGTATGACTAGGAATAAGTAATTGTAATASAGTCTATTGAATAAATCTATTTAAAAAAAATCTTACAAATGTAATTGTGATTGGGTTGCTTGTTGTCTTTCTGAAACTTCAAACTATTACAAATACTCATATTAACGATCCTTYCAATTCGATTTTTTTTAAATATGTTATAAAGGTTGTTATTTACAGTGCTATTACTGAATATCAAATTTCCAATTTTATTTAATAAAACGCAACCAAAACTCGCTTTTGATACTTTCAAATTTTGCAATACCGCATATTAATTTAGCAGTATTTCTTTTTTTAAAGAAATTTAGTAAATATTTAAAATGAATAATATATGTCTAAAAAGATTAATACATGAKCTGTTGTTAAAAACAGCATTTTACGGGATTGCTTTATAAATAATCGAAATATGCAGATATGTGGTTAGTCTCAATATTTTTCAGAGTTTCATTAAATATAATTAATGTTTATTCTCTTAAATACATGATACATAAAATTCATCTAACCAATCAGTATGCGTAGTTCTCATTAAAAACTGTGTACCCAAAATATTTTGCCGAATCAAGAAGATGATAAGTATAATCGTCAAACGAAAAAAATATTCGTTTAACTGCAATAATATTGAATTAAGTTTTAATCGAATGACTATTTAATTTTTTCACAAAAATTATTCTTTTTTATTATTAGCCTATATTTATTTATTTAATTCAAGCATACAATTTATGAAATCATTTGGTTAGAAAAACGTAATTTCGCAACAAAAAAAGAGTCTTCCACACCACTCGCTTTATTTTCGGGCGAATGCTCTGTCCATCTGAGCTACCTAAGAACAACTTTTGGACCAAATTATTCAAATATTTTATCGAGGAATTGGCATTATTATATTGATATTGTTACTAACAAACTTCCTGGAAATCTCTGAAAYACACACAACTCGCATTGGTCTTTTTTTGCAAGTGTATCTGAATTTTTTCAAAGATGATGGTATCGAAGAGGAAGAAGGAAAGAACTTCTTACCAATATAATAATAGATTCCTTGATAAAACTATTGCATAATTCGGGCTTCGGTTGTTTAGACTGGGATTCGAACCCAGGACATTCCGCTTGCCGAGCGAGCGCTCTACCATCTGAGCTATGAAGACACATTAACATTTAATTCATAATATTGTATATAATACGTTGTAACCGATTATCCAATACATTCGTACGGTTTGAACTGTATTTTCGTACTTTTAATTAGAAAGAATAGAACATACTTATGAACCAATCTAATAGAATATGCATTACTTATATCATTACGTATAATTAAATGGTAATCCATATTTTTTTTGGAAAGTAACCTGCTTCACCGATTGATATTGATATTAATGTGAATCTAATAGATAATTTATTTTTTTAATTTTCTTAATTGCTGTTTGAAGCACTATTGCATAGTTCATTGATCTATCTATAAAAAGAATATGAAATTATTATATCGTATAAATCATAGTAAGTTTATTGTGTTGTTAAATTTTGTTGTTGTAATTTTTGTGATGTTTTTATACAGTGATGTCAATAGAATATTTTCGAACTTTCTTGGTCTACACCGTCGTGGTAATAAATTCAGGATTTTCAAAATTTCATTCCATTCATTGATGTCTTATAGAAAATTCTATACGGTTTATTTCTAAAAAAACGCATCAAACATATTTTTCACCAGTTTACTGACTCTTCATCAGAATTCTTGATCTTTTTCAACATTGCGTCTTCTAATAATTTTGTTACTACAGAATCTTTTTATCTCATCTTATTTACAATATAGTATTGTCTTATTTACTCGGAATATATGCAAAATCAAATGCTTTATTGATACATAACTAAATGTTATACAGCTACCAGGTGCAATCGGAAAATAATAAATGATGAATGGAGACAATCAACTTTCAAAATAAACTTTCTATCATTCTATTGATCGGCAAATTTTCTTGTTACAATATCTTCCTGATTTTAAATATATATTTGTAACAAATTGCTTCAGAATAAAAAGATTATGTAATAATGTAACTATTACGGTTGCTAACTCGATGTTTTTGGAAAATCGAGATGGGCCACTTTCAAAATAAACGGTTCAAATGATAGTCTGTCAACGCAATGTCTGGTGAAAACGGCGGGTGGGGTAACACTCCCAATCAGGTGTTTTTACATAGTTTTTGACTGGAATCACAAAATGTGGACGAGCATTATCATGAAGGAGAATAATTTTGTGTCTGAAGTAGTAATTAATTCATTTTTTCTTCAGAACTCGGCTCAATCTCATTTAATGTGTTCGGTAGATGGCTCCAGTAATGGTTTTGCTCAGATTGAGCAACTCGTAATACACGACACCCCTGTTTTCATACGTTTTCAACCTTCCACTGCGATCTTTATCTTCTACGCCAAAGTCACCGTGTTTAAACTTCTGAAACCACTCACGACAAGTTTTCTCACTTAAAGCAGTCTTATCATATGCTTCTACAAGCAATCGATACGCCTCAGCTTCAGATTTTTTTTCAATTGAAGAAGTAAATTAAAAGTTCTCGCAAATGGTGCTTATTTAGAACAAATTTAGACATTTTCAGAGAAAGAAATGATATGACGCTGATACGAAGTCAATAATACTTCAAGTTAATGATATTACTGTATTTTATGCCGTTTTTCATTTGTCAATTTCAACGTAAGCCTTGAATAACACCATCTTTTTTAAAACGGTGGATACTTATTTGTACACCTAAAAAAACTAATAATTACAAGAACTGTCATCATTAATCACATTAAAACGCATTGTTTAGTCTTCTTGAAAGAATTTTTTGTGTAAAAATTGTTCTTTTCTTTTTAGTACACCTTTAAATATGTATTTCTTTTTTACCGATTCTTATCTATCACGTAAACGATTTGAGTGATTCTTAGAAACACGTTCGTGTTACTAGGCGGCACGTCATAGTCGAAACACAATTGGCTATTCGTTGATTGGCTGTGGAAAAGAAAAATAAATGTTAAAAAGGGAAAAAGAAAGACAGAAATTTGATTTTTAGAATATTTCAAAAATATAGAGGAGACAATTTGATTGACAGAGAAAAAAAAAACACCTATGTACGAGAGAAGCTTTTCTTTCGATTTACGTTTTTTATTCTAATGAATGAATTGAAATTTTAAAAATGATTAATTTCTCATCTTTTTTTTTTTTTGCATGCTATATTATTATCAGATAAATGTTGCAATGAATTCGGTGCTGCGCTTTGATATTAAATTCATTTCGTTACAATGAAAAATATCCAATGTATGATTACTTTAAACATAAATACAAAATTTGTTAAAAGAGCACCGAATTCATTTCTACACTTAAAATATATATTATTAGGTTGTCCTTAAAGTTCGTGCTGATTTTGATGGAAGATTGAAACGTAGCTCATTTAAGTTTTTTATTTTGTTATATATTTATTAAATAATAAATATAACTATATATATTAATAATTATATAAATTTGGTCTACAAGTAAGTTTCCAGCGTTTTTTTTCATAAAATTTGAGGGTTTATTCTGAAAAAATGGTTACATATTTTTCATTCGAAATATTATCCATCGGAAGATACAATTTTTACCCATCTTTCTGGCAACTTGTGAATTCCGGACCAAAAAAAGTTCTCGTCTTTTGAGCCCAAGAACGTATTGAGCCAATTTTTGATTCCCTCTACTGAAGTGAAACGCATTCCGGTAAGAGCGTTCTGCATCGATCGAAACAAGTGCCAGTCGGATGGCGCCAAATCTGGACTATAAGGCGAGTGAGGCAGAATTTTCCATCCACTATTATCCAAGTAGTTTTTGACCGAAGTAGCAACATGTGGCCGAGCGTTGTCGTGGTGAAAAATTACAGACTCGTGCCTGGTCTGATATTCTGGCCGTTTTTCCGTCAATGCCCGCTTCAAACGAATTAGTTGGGTTCGATACAATGGTCCTTTGATGGTTTGACCAATCGGAAGCAGTTCGTAGTATATGACACACTTCTGATACCACCATATGCAGAGCACGACCTTATTCATGTGAATATTTCGATTTGGCTGACTCGCCAGGCTTTGCATATGGTTTTTTGCGTTTAGGATTATCATAATAGGTCCACTTTTCGTCACCAATGACAATACGATGTAGAAACGACTTTTTTATGCTGCTGCAGCAACATTTCTGACATGCAAAATCGCCGTTCAACATCTCTCGGCTTCAAATCGTACGGCACCCAATTTCCAACTTTTTGAATGAATCCCAAAGCTTTCAGACGCAGGGAAATGGCTTGTTGTGTGACGCCCAATGATGCAGCAAGCTCTTCTTGAATTTTGACACGGATCCTCATCCAGCAAAGCCTCCAATTCTTCGTCTTCAAAATTTTTCGGCTTTCCGGAGCGTTCCTTGTCTTCAACGTCAAAATCATTATTTTTGAACCGTTTGAACCACTCACGACACGTCGATTCACGAATACATTCCGGCCCGTAAGTTTCCAGAAGCAAACGATAGGCCTCAGCTGCACTTTTCTTCATATTAAAGAATGGAAGCAGCGCTTCCTGCAAATGACACTTATTTGGCACATAACTTGCCATGTTTCTGCTTCATAAAATATACGACGCCGATAGAAATGCGCAAATATGATAATGCAATGTTGTTAACAGATACCCAAACTTCAAAAATGACACATGAGATGTGACATTTCTGCCCTGAATCTATTCGTCATACCATCTATTAAAAAAACGCTGGAAACTTACTTGTATAGATCCAAAATAAAATAATATAATAATATATAATAATAAATAATAAATATAATAATATAATAACTTCAAAATTTTGTCTTTTCAGAACTTTTCAGGTTTTTTTTTAGCAAAAGAACTTTAATGCCATCTATCGAAAATCAGCACGAACTTTCCGGAAAACCTAATATATACTACATTTATGTAGTATGTCCAATAAAGTTGGGTACAAACTTATACTATGTATTATTGAAGTTAAATAGATGAAACAACGTTCATATAAATTTATGTTATATGCAAATATAATATAAATATTGAAAAGATACTTATGCTTTTAAAATAATTCATTAATTCATGATTCATTATAGCAATAATGAGAATCGTTTGGAAAATTTTTCGTTCTGCAAAAATGCAGATCTTTCCTTACCTTCGTCGAATATTGCCCATAAATCTATGACTTTATTCCCAAACTTTTTGGACACCCAGAATAATATGTATTATCACATATAATTGACTATTTAATTATCTGCAAAATAATACAATTTTCTAGCGATTATTACAATCGATTGTGTGCATACCTTTAATGAATTATAAAATATAACATTTTATTGAAGTTTTAAGGGGCACTACTGGTGTGAAATTTTGAAAATATCGATTTTTTTTGGTTTGCATATTTTGATAATCCATAAATAGTCTGTAAATATCTAAAATAGTTTTTGAATTATAGCCATCTAATATTTATTGATTTCTAACAATCAAATCACTAACTTAAACTTTAAACGCGTTTTTTCTCGAAACTATTAGTTAGACCGGAAAGAGTAATGTCGCTTTTTAACCTCAAAATTCGAACGAATAAATTTTTCAAACAAAAGTTTTTATTATTAATCAATAATTAAATTATTTATATTAAATTAATTAATCACGTTATCAACAACCTTTTTCTATCTGATATGCAAATTTTTTAATATCGTAACGATAAAAATCGTCAATTGATATTTTGATTAAAATATTAATATGAAAATTTGACGTGCGTAGTAACGACATTACTTTTCTGCCCTCCTAATACATTTTTCAAATTTGCTGCAGTTAGAACTCGAAGACAAATCATCCGATCGATTTGATTCTTGTTGAAGCTTCTTTTATTTATATTTCTGCATACCATGAAACTTTCAGTTTTCCGATCGAATAAAAAATGTAATTTTGGCAGGCCGAAAAATCATCAAATTTTGGCGCGAAATTTGAAACGTTTTTTTTCAAACCCCGCAATTTTGTTAAATTTCAATTTTTCGTTTCGACCAAGGTTCATGGTGCGGGAAATTCCTTCTAGTTTGAATAAAAAATGTAATTTCGGTAAACTAAAAATCATTCAATTTTCGCGCCAAATTTTAAACGTTTATTTTTAAATGAGAATTTTTCCTGGGAAGATTAAAAAAAGATCCGCTAGGAGGGGCTGCACCAGTGGGGGGTAACTATGTAAATTTTACACCATCCTGCTTGTACCGACTATCAGACGTACAATTAGCGAATGCACAATGTTTTGTAGGCATTCCGCCATTTTATTAAATTTTTATTTCTCGTTTCGACCGAGTGGGGGCGACTGGGGGCAGCAGTGGGAGGGACTTGGAAGATTGCGAATAACTCGATTAATTTTCAATATTTTGGTCCAAAAATTAAGTCATGTGTTCATTAAATATCCACAAATATCTCCTTCAAAAATGAAGACATTCTATACAGTAGTTTTCTTTAAAAAATATTCCGAAAAACCACCTATTTTTCAAGCGGTCACACTAGTGAGTGCCCTTTAAGTACAATATCGTATCAATAAATAATAGATAAAATATCGCAACGAAAATGATTTAATTTGTAAATAATTGAATAGAGCTTAAAAGAAAAGAAAAATTTCAATGATAATTATTCTATTTATCTATCTATCTACCTATCTATTTATCTATCTATGATTCGTGCGCTATATTTTGCAGTGATCAAACGGTCCCTTTTGGAAATATCATGTACGATCGGCGAGTGATACGTGGAAGTACTTTCGCAGCCCCACCTGCCCTCGTAAGTATTATTAATGGATTATATAATTAAACCAAAAGTTAAAATTCTTTTCGTTTTGTAGATCGATGGAGAGCAATCGATAGCGGCAAGGCAAGCGGAAGCGAGAAGAAGACATTTGGCAAGAAAAAGGGCGCAAGCACAAATTTGTAGAGTCATTAGATCAGGATCGCCACCGGCAGTCCCTGGCCGCAAGCACGAACCCGTCCAAACTGAGTTTTATCTCGAGGAAGTAAGTTTGAAGATGAATTTTATTTCATTTATTTATTAGTTGTACAAATAAGTATCCGCCGTTTTAAAAAAGATGATGCTACTACTCAAGGTTTAGGTTGAAATTGACGAATGAAAGACGGAATACATAAGATAATATAATACACGAAAAATATAAAAAGGAAAGTTTATTTATGTCATATGTAAATCTGGAAAAAACGTACGACGTAAACATATGCAAATAATTCAATTGTGATACAGCGCTGTCTATTCAAAATTTACAGTACTTAGAGACCTAGATAATCTCTAAATAATAAATCAATTCTGATATATTTACGACATTATAAAAACACATAAATTAATATCATAGTTAGAATGGAATAAAACAAATAATAATACACAAAAAAATATAAAAATGTGGATTAGTTGTGGATATATAAATCTGAAAAAAAAACGTTAAATAATTGAATTGCAATACAGCGCGATCTATTGAATATTTACAACACATGGAAACCTAGATAACCTCTAAATAATAAATCAATTCTAAACTATTGGGTTGATTGGAAAGTAATTTCGTTTTTTTTTTTGTAAAAATGAACAGTATTTTCTCATAAAATATTAGCTTGAAGTATTATTGACTTTGCATTAGCGTCATATCATTTCTTTCTCTGAAAATGTCTAAATTTGTTTCAAATAAGCATCATTTACGGCAACTTTTAATTTACTTCTTTAATTGAAAAAAAAATCTGAAGCTGAAGCACATCGATTGCTTGTAGAAGCATATTATAAGTCTGCTTTAAGTGAGAGAACTTGTCATGAGTGGTTTCAAAAGTTTTAAACACGGTGACTTTGGCATAGAAGATAAAGATCGCAGTGGAAGGCCGAAAACGTACGAAAACAGGGATGTCGTGTATTACGAGTTGCTCAATCTGAGCAAAACCATTACTGGAGTCCTTTACCGAACACAATTAATGAGATTGAGCCGAGCTCTGAAGGAAAAACGCACTAATTACTACTCCAAACGCGACAAAATTATTCTCCTCCATGATAATGCTCGTCCGCATGTTGTGGTTCCGGTCCAAAACTATTTTAAAACACCTGATTGGGAAGTGTTACCCTATCTGCCGTATTCACCAGACATTGCGCTGTCCGACTATCATTTATTGTGATCGATGGCACATGGTCTGTCTGAGCAGAGCTTTATATCCTATGAAGATACTATAAATTGGGTTGATTCGTGGATAGCCTCAAAAGATGATGAGTTCTTCAGAATGCTGCATGAGAGATGAGAAAATGTAATTGTTTGTGATGGACAATACTTCGAATAAGTGTAATATACCGTTCTGTCACAATAAATTCCTCATTTTGATAAAAAGGCGGAAACTTATTTGTACTCCTAATATTTCATTTGTTTCATTATTTGATTCATAATCAAATGTATACTGTTTTGAATATTGATCAAGAAATAATTGACTTTATCGACTATTTTCTTTTGAAATTATAGTTGTTTGAGAAACCTGATGAACTCGAGGTTGGCACACAAACCGATTACTTCCTGGACAGGCCACCTACGCCAAAGTATTGTCTTGTAAAAACCGGTGAGGATGTCTCGACACAAATCGAACCAGGAGACGTAAGTTGAATCGAAGTTGAAGTGAAGTTGCCTTTGAAAATTAATTATCTAACTTTTCACAGAAAAGTTCATAATCTTATATATGTGTTATACATGAACAATTAATTTCGTCTTTTGTATATATCAATGGTTCCCAAACTTTTTTGTTCTACCGCCCCCTTTCCAGAAAAATATCACTTAACGCTCCCCGGAAATTAATTTTTTTTTTAATTTTAATATCAATTAATAGGAAATATATATGTATTAACCCCTTAAGTTGCACGGGGGTTCAAAAAACTGGCCAATTTCCCGTTCTATCACATTGAGCCAAAATTATTTTTTTTTGACCGGTTTTTCTCAAAAAACCTGTGCATTAACATGTTGAGTGTCACGCGAATTCTTAGGGAAATTCCTCTCAGGCCACAGGTGTTACTTCGTATTGAAAAAATAGTTGAACGTGTCAGTCACCCGTGACGGACGCGGCTTAAACAGAAAGAAAACGTGGCGCTCAGCGTGTTAAGGGGTTAATGTTTCTACCGCATCCCTGAATCGCTGCAGCACCCAATTTGAAAATCGCTGGTATATATTATCTACGATCGAGGATTTTTAATAGAATAATTGTTTTACAGCTATTCGATTTCGATCTTGAAGTACAGCCAATTGTCGAAGTAATCGTTGGTAAGACTATTGAGCAAGCTTTGATCGAGGTCTTAGAGGAAGAAGAAGTGGCAGCTTTACGAGAACAACAAAGAAGATTCCGAGAATTACGAGCTGCTGAGAAAGCCGAAGCAAACAGATTGAAAGAACAAGAGAGAAGACTTCGAGAGGAAAAAGTAAGAAAATATTCGTTGCATTGTTATTTCATTAACGATTACTACTATTTATATTTATCACTTATTAGTCAAAATAAGTCAAATATTATAGTTATTACCTATATAATAGAGAAGATATAAATATAAATCTTGAATGACTTTTAACCCTTTCGTTACGGCAGTCCGTTCCGCCGGAGTGACGCCACTGAACGGGGCACCGCGCCGAAAAGCGTGCACTTTGCACGTCGGTAGTCTTTGGCGTTTGCTATTACTTCTTTCAACACTACCTTGAAATTCTCTCATATCTACACTTTTTTAAGAGATACTTATCAACTGTCTCGTCATATTGTTTGAGAAATTTGAAAACGAGTATATTTTAAAGCATATTGTTATTTACATATTTACAGATTTCGTTATTATTATAAATAAAAATATAATTTATGATAACTACAACGTCAAGTTATAATTCTTAGTAATTTAATTCGGTATGGTAAATTTTAAAACAGGGATCTACGCATAAACCTACGTTACAACTTTTGCATTCATATCTAGTTTCCCGTCTTTTGTCATTTGCCGTGCAAACGACGCACCTTCTAACTC